CCCACACACACACCCTTCTCCACTTAAATACCAGGCTTTTGTCTCCGGCATGGTTCGAACCCGTGACATGCGCCTACTCCACACATCACTTGCTGCGCCGCTCTTACCACTAGAACAAAGCCCGGGGGCAACATTTAAAACAGAATTACAAAAGCTAAAATATCAATCATTAGGATGATACAGTCAAAGGAGGTGAAAACAAACTCAGCAATATATGGATGACGAAAAGGAAATTTCACGATATCACTACTTAGCAATATGATAAATAACGAACTTGAACAACCAAACAATATGGACATCATCCATCCCGAAGTGAACTACACTACATTGAGAATGTCAGAACTCATAGATAAACAATGGAGCTGTCTTGGTTTCACTAGTTTACTTAGATATACTAGAGCATTGCGCTGACACTTATACAGGGTTCTGCCAACGCATATTCCAGAAAATGGAAGTGTGAAGCAGCCTCCCAAACTTCGTTAGATTTGGAAACACACATGCAACGAATATGGTTTTTACCATGAATTAGGCAGCAAGGGAAAAACCCAGTTACCTATAAAATTTACGGGTAATAGGTAGAAAAAGTAGAACATCTATATTTGCTCATCAAAATATGTGGTAGTTATGTCTTATCAAGGGGAAATCAAGTCAAGTAAAGTTCACATGCGTTTTTTGCCCTTCCCAGCTCTTTTTGAAGGAAGTGGTCTGATTTCATAATTAAGAATAGTTTTGAACTTTCATTCTGAATCTCTCTTACTATTTCCTATCACTTTCTTGTAAGTGCAAACTTGCCATGAAAAGTTTAAGACATGCTTGACCAAAATACAAGCCAATGGAATATATAGCATACACTATTTCCAAGTGTGAGGATGTTGAGATGGATGTGCGGACATACCAGAAAAGACAAGATTAGGAATGAACTTATTAGGGACAAGGTGAGAGTGGCCTCTGTGGAGGACAAGTTGCGGGAATCGAGGTTGTGATGGTTCAGGCATGTAAATAGGAGAGACATAAATGCTCCGGTCAGGATGTGTGAGAGGTTGACCATGGCAGGCTTGAGAAAGGGCGGGGTAGGCCAAAGAAGTATTGGGGAGAGGTGATTAGGTGATTAGGCAGGACATGTCATTGCTTCACCTCTTCGAGGACATGACTCACGATAGGAAGGTGTAGAGGTCGAAGATTAAGGTGGTAGGTTGACAGGTAGTTGTGAGTTTCTCCTAGGCTTACCAATAGTACTAGTACTATTCTTGTAGTCTCTTATTCCTGGTTCGTTATTACTTGTTATATCATTCGCTCCCATTACCATATTACATTACTACTGCTTTTGCTTGTTGCTTTATTTTTACTGTTCCTTAAGCCGAGGGTCTATCAGGATCAGCCTCTCTGCCTTTATAGGGTAAGGGGTAAGGCTGCATACACACTACCCTTTGCAGACCCCATGTATGGGATTAAGCTGGGTTTGTTGTTGTTGTTGTACACTATTTCCAAGTGTATAATAGCAATGTTTCATGGCAGCAGCAACCACATAAACCAATACGAAAGGATTTACCAACAGGACAACCCAAAAAGTCATTTAACTGTTTTATTCCATGAGAATATAGCATCTAACTACCTCAGCAAGGTTGACCCATTCCCATGTCTCATTTGCAGTACCCATGTCATAAACAAGAGCATGTCTACCCTGAAAAATTGCATGAAGATTCCAGCGTTCAACCGTGGGGAGAAAAAAGAGTAAATATTCCAATTAAAAAGGATCAGGCATACCTCAGCTGGATTATAATCAGTTATGACTGCTTCATAAAAATTATTGTCATCAGGCCATCTAGTCCTCACTTTCCTTCCAACCAATGGATCAGATGATGCTGCCTCAGCAGGTTCAGAAAACCGATTACCGAGTTGGGCTCTTCCTGAAGGACCAGGAGTAGGGTACTGCATTTTCATTGAAGACGCACCAGGCATCATCTGGCCCTATGAAGATATACATAGCAGGAAAATATCAGAACTATAGACTGATTTGTACCGCAAGCTTTCACGTTTTTTAGCAACATCTGACTTACAGATTTATGTTTTTTCCCCTTCGGCCCCGCAATAGGTCCTCTCTTGGCAGCGGATGAAAATGGCTGGTTTGCAGCAGTCACCGCAGGTAGAAGAAAAGTAGGAGATGGCCCAGCAAAGGATTGAGAAGGTAAAGACGGGGCAATCTTCTGTTTCTTCCGTGAAGCTGAAATGGAGGGGCTGGGTATTGGATCATGAACAGATTGACCACCACCAAGCATACCAGATTGATGCCCACCAGATTGCCTCCACTCCCTAAAAGCAATAGAGTAACAATTAGCCCCCAAAACTTTGACAAACTCCAAACTACAGAAAGACTCACCAAAAAAATTCAAGCGGGAGAAAGTGAGCCTGCTAGCTAGAGAGCTAACCTAATTCTTCTGATGGCATCATCATTATTAACTCTAGCAAGAAGTTCTCTATGTTCTTCATTGGACAACCGTAACTCTTTTCTTAACTCGGTTATCAAACTTTCTTTCTCCTGAAGAAAATATATTAATCAAGTAGTCATTTAAACCTGATCAAACAAATACAAATATTAGATTAACGAGTACAGTAATAACAGAATATACCCATGTAATGGCATCAGCTTGAGCTTTAAAGGCTCTCAGAACCGAACTGTATGCTTCTTGCTCAAGTTGATGAATTTGGGCCTCCATATCTGTTTCTCCGTAAATTCTCGGATAGGGAACAGAACCAATGACAGCAGATCTTCCATTTCCAGTAATTCGACCACCACCTCTGGGAATCCTATTTTGATGTGATGGAGGAAGATCATCATCAGTTCCTGCATTAATATCGACAGTTTGTGAGATCTAGAACGTCAGCAACCCTATGCATTGTAAGAAATTAAAAACACAAAACAAATTATAAAACTTATCTATATTAGCACCATACTATCTATCTATACTATATTAAAAGCACGAACACCCTTAGCAAAATGTGGTTCATCTCTTTTACCCTTTTAAATAGAATTCACATTGGAATACATAGTCATTTGATTATTTTCCTAATAATTAGAAATAATCACTTAATTAATTCCTTACTATTTATGGGTAGTCATTAAATTATTCCCCTAATATTTAGAAATTTAATTTTTCAATTCCTTTCCATTCTAGAATTTCAAGCACTTTTATTTCATACTAGGAAAGTATGTTCATTTTCAACTCCAATTATTATTTAGGAGTATTAAATCTTTCCTAAACATAGAAGGTAAGTTTCTTTTAACCACAAAGTTATATTTTTTAGTCAAATTAAAAAAGAACCTAATTGCCAATGAGCATACAAATAAAGAAGAAAATAATATACACACGTACAACTACACAAACACGAAGGGTACGTAAGTAGAAATTAATATAAATTCTTTCACCAAAAAAATAATTTAAATTCATCCCAACTACATACCAACATTTTAGATATATATCAGATTTCTAACGATAAATTTAAGTATAATCATATATTATGTTTATAACTTTATGAAGCATATTAGGTAGTTTAAATGAATATAGGTTATTTTACTATGTTAAAATCAACTAATTATTTCAAAATCATAGATGCACAAGCTTCCCAATCAATTTTCAAAGTTGTATTGTATTTGTTGCACATAATTCTCACCTGAACAACTATACGTGACACTATTAAGAGAAAGATTAATGTCAGATAACAAAAGTTAGATCATGATAAAACAACCAAAATGACATAAAGGAACATACACCAAATATTCATAAAGAAGTATTAGGTGAGATATGATCATATAAAGTGTTTGTACCTCATAAAATCAAAATTGATGTAATTACATAATCTAACTAACAAATTTAATTGGCCAACTTCGCAATAGACGGTGTAAATCAGTTGGATTTCAACTCCTGTTTCATAAGCAATTCTCTTTCCTGCGTACTTTCCTCCAACAAAATCAAGGGCAATGGATACGAAAGTACTGTTGTAAAGTTTCGTCGTTTATCTCATTGTCCATAAATGCAGATAACTGTTGCGTGTAGTCAAAAAGAAAAAAAGATCAAACTAGAGGTGTGGTTAACTAATACTATCCATGACTATTAACTAAAAGAAATAAGAGTGATTATTAGCATTTGTAATGTTTTATCATCATAAGACTGATCAGATCTGTCTATAAAGGATGCATGAGAACCTAGGTCTATTCCTCACAAAAATTCAAATAATGACGCATCTGAGGACTTTTGTGCGGCAAAGTTTCTTCTTTTATAGAGTTAGATAAATGGGGTTGACATTTATCATTTTCAGGAACAAAGAATTTTTCCGTTGATTTTTATTTAATAAATGGACATATAGGATCAGTACTCATCGTTTTCATGAACTTATACTTTTAATTTTTTTTAACTCAAACATAATTTATATATTTATGAAATTCTCTGAGAAAAATTATGCTCATCGAGATAGGAACACGTGCAATGCACGTATCCTAAGACTAGTTAATAAAGACACCTAAACCTTATGACAACACCTAGCATTATCCAACTGTCACCTCCTCCGACAGGGACTAATGACGGGCATGGATTCCAACAACTACATAAAACAGAAGGATCCTCACCCTACTGCTCTTGATATACAAAACAAGGATCACATTCTGCCAATATACATTGAAACTAAGACTAAGCTGCATTGAGAGTACCAACAATAACATCCATAAAACAATCTTAAGCTAGTTAGGCAGGCTATATGATTTCCATTTCGCTCTATTTATAACCGTTTCAATAATAAATAATATGGGGTTATCTAACACTAGAGGTTCTTTACATTTTCTATTGACATACAAATCTCTAAAAGGATGAAAACCTAATATAAGCATACCAACATGTCTAAGCTTAAAGCCAAACTAGTCGGTATCGCCTACATGGATCTTTTGCTTCCATAAAGTTTATTATTTTTTTATTGCCAAGTTTCCATTCATTTCTGAGAGATTCTATGTCTTTTGAAGCAACTTCCTCCCATGTGATTTTAAGTTTGTTTTAACCCTTCATTCACGCCTGCCTACAAACTGATGTACTTGGAGATTAATGTAAGATGTGACTAAACCACCTCAAGCAAATTTCTCTGACCTTATACCACTTCTAAAAATTCGAAACTAAAATTTCAACTTTTACTATATGTCAGATCACGACTCTTCAAGTTCAGTACACATCCATAATATAAATTCAGCTAACAAATATGGTTCACAATTTTTTATAACATAACAAGATAAATGTTTTAATTCTTTTTAAATGATAGATATTAAGTAATGTGTTTTAACTTTGAGCCCATTATTTCATTAAACACATTAATTCTAGCAAGAAAGCAATTTAAACTTCTCAAAAGACAATAACCAAGGAAGGGGACACATACAGGAAAGCAAATAACACCAACCAAAAAGCATTAGTTAAACTGACGAACACATCTCAAAGAAAAAGAATTCCTTAAAATAAGCCGGATACAGATTTTAATACAATTGCTCAAAATTTCCAAGTCCCAAAAACCTAGTCACAGTAATACGAGACAAAAACAATCGGAAAATTTCATCTAAATAACAATGTACGTGCTAATTCCACTAACCCCAACCCCAAACCACACTATAAAACCCTATTTGAATGAAAACAAAAATAAAGATCAATTTTTTTGTCAATGTAAAAACTCACCACTGCTATCATACAGCTCGTAGTCCATAGCCAGCTCGTAAACAGGAACTTCGAGCACAGAATAGAATAGAGCGTCGCCGAAAATATGTCAAATCAAATTGAACTAGAACCCGACGGGAAAAAAAAAAGAACCAGAGGCGACGCCGTTTGGGAGTCCAAAATTAAGTGTTAGGGTTTTACAAGTAAGCAAATCAATCAATTGGGCGTGATTTGGGAAGGGAGAGTATGAGTTCGGGAACGCGGACGTGAAATAAATTTTTCTATTGAGCTTAATGTTAGGATTTGAATTCCGTCTCCTTTGATCTTTTTCGCTGTTTTCTTTTTTTCCCGTTTGATCATTTGTTTGTCGAATCGAATTTACCACGTGAGGAAAAGCACGTGTGGCTTGGGAGCTGATTAATGAGTGTAACTAGTAGCAATGTTTGACCCAAGCTATTAAGAGAACGATATGGATGGTTGTAGGGGCGACTCTGATGCTAAGGCCAGTGAGACTGTTTGGCCAAGCTTCTCCAGAGGTCAAAAGTATTTTTTTTTCGAATTTTTTTTTTCTAACTTAGGTGTTTGGCCAAGCTTTTTCTTTGGGCAAGCTTTTCTTTCCTTTGCTATTACTTTGAATGTTTTGATGTTTTGATGTTTTGCTCTTGCGACTTCAGGCATGATTATGGTTTAAAGTCAATCACTCCCAAGCGGAGATTATTTTATATTTTTTAATGCAAAGCTCTCCCAACAAGCGGAGACGTACTCCACGAATCAAGTTCTCCCAACAAGCGGAGACATTTCCTCAGTGCAAAGCTCTCCCAACAAGAGGAGACGCACTCTACAAGTCAAGCTCTCCCAACAAGTGGAGACATTTTTCAATGCTCTGACAGCTGCGGAATGGTACATAACTCGGCTAACAAATCGAGTCAAGATCAAGTATCCCAATATCCCGATCCCAAAGAATGGCTCTCCGGCAGCCAGTGATCATCATTCCTGCATCATTTACATCACATCTTAATATATTATGCATTGCAATATATGGGTATATGTGTATTTCATTTTTTTGTAGGAACAATTATCGCAACGTGGAACTCTTTCTACGCAGCAAACCAAACTACAACACTATGAGGGACAACAAACTCATTAGCGGGCCAAGGATCCAAGTTCAAACATAAAACGACTAGTGGAACTCTAAATCTTCAAATCCTTCAAGTCAAGCAGCAAATTCAAGCCATCGCCAGTGCCTAGTCCTCTGTCTCGCTGTATCGTCATAATACGATACTGGGGTAGTTCCTGCGAGTATCGCTTCCTCAAAAATCTTCACTCCAGAACTACATGAGGCCTGATCCTCCTTAAGCTCGAGGTATGTAAGCAAACCAAAGCCAAAATTCGGCCCTCAATTCCTCCAAAATCTTCCTGAAATCTTCCTTAACTCTCCCTAAATCCTGCTATCCATAATCTTCCTTAAATCCATATGTCGCTCCTGCAATGCATGCCTAAAGTCGGAACAAAATTGGCATTGGTTCAATTTCTTTGCCTGAAAACTCTTTCATCGTCTCCGGCCAAAGAGGGGCCGCTGTTGACGGCCCATTTTGACCCTCCCTTTTAAAATTAATTTAGTTATACTTAATAATTTTCGATGAATGTTTTGAAAGTACTTTTATCAATAAATACTTATTTTACAAAATTAACTAGGTATTAGTAGTTTTGAAATTAATAACTTAGTTTCAGTATTATGTTAATATACTTATCATTTTTAGATTATTAAAATAAAATACACCACATAGGTTTTATAATTAATTTAGCGAATTATTTTTCAATTTTAGTTAAATAGGTCACTATGTTAATAATTTGAAGTTAGTGTCATAATTTAGAAGATAAAGTATTTTGTAAATAATTACAATAATTAGTATTATATTTGATAATTATAATTTTACTACATTTTATTGGAAATTAATTAAGTTTAATAAAATCAATTTTAGAAGGGGTTAAAACTAAAGGGGCTACAATTGCAATTCATAATTAAAATACAAGTGGCTATTTTCTAAATTAATTCCAGCTCAAAGACAAGCCCAATCCGAAAAATACCCAGTCCAAACACCCCATCTCTTTTCATATTGGCAATCCGGGTCACTCTCCCTAAACCAATCATAACCTGCCACGTCACTCACCTATCTCACTCACAAAGAAAGCACAATGAATCTGGACCATTGATCTATCAGATCAACGGGCCGCGTTTTATCCTCATTTTTTCTTTAATTTTAGTACTCCACCAGACTCAATCTTAGCCGTCCAAATCCAACAATCCAACGGTCGTGACTTTTTTACATTTTAATTCTTTAATGCCCAAATTATTAGGGTCGTTGATCAATAGATCCAACGGTCCAGATTCCATCTCTCACTCTTAAACCTAAAGACCAGCCCCCAATACCCCAAAACCCTAAATCATTTCCCTAAACACTCAGCCGCCCCCCTTTCCTCTTCTTCTCTCATCTCTCTCAAACCCATAGACCCATCAATCACCCAAACCTTGCACTAATTAGATCAAGGTCATGAATTCATCAAAGAATCATTCTTTTTGTCTTCCCTAACCGTGAATCCTGCTGATACCTTCCCCCTTTGTCATTGCACTTCAAAATTCCTCAAATTCGAACCCTAACCTTCAAAGACGAAACCCCAACTCACCATCGATCTTTGAAATCCATGGCATGCATGGCCGTCCGTTCTGTCTCTGTACTATGAAACTCATCACTCTCTTTCCATTCTCATCATTTAATCTCAATAGCCCTAATATCGAAGTCATAGACCTAAGTATGAAATCTCAAATCATCTTATATTTTCTTATGCTCTTTCAAATCAAGGCGCATGGGAGCCACCTCAGAACCTCATTATGACTATTCGAGGTCCAGAGGTCAAATGCAATGACCTCTGGACATTGGGGCTTTACCCGATGGGTTTTTCCTTCAACGGTTAACTTCCCTCCTCTCAGGTAAAATCCCTAACGATTTCCCCCTCCGTCTCTCTGATTTTTACTCGCATATGCTTGCATCATCTAGTAATCGTCATCTTCTACTACTGAATTTGAATGTGTTGAAACCCTAAGCCATTAATGGCACTATAAAAGGGGCTTTCAATGCTCTCACCAACCAGACATAAGACACAAGAAAAACCTAACATCTTCAACTTACTGAGCTAACATACTCAATAGACAAAAAAGCTATCATAAAATTACTTAGAAAATCTCGCTTTTAATTCTGAGTAGTAAATTTAGCTAGGGTTCTAATTAGTTTCTGGTTTCTATATAATTGTGAGTATTGCACTGGTCATGGGAGTTCTTGATTCTATACGGCTAAACAAGAGCCTTTTGTTTGGTTTGCTGCTCAAGAGGAGGTCAGTATGCATCCATCATCTCTCTCTTAATTGCTTCATTTGAAAATCATGAATGTGTTATTGTTTTCCTGATTAACTGCTTAGTCTATAATGTTTATTTAGCCTTTAATTGTTTATTTTGGTTCACTATGACTTGTTAATGATCTATGATAAGTTGTTGTATTTTTCTAATGTTAATTAGGTGGCTGTGTGACTTTAATATCCTCAATTTCTGTATTGAACCTATGTGTTTAATTTGCTTAACCTGATGATTTCTCACATATGCCTAGGACCTCAGACCTTACTCTAATGTTTTGTTATAATCTTCATGCTGCATTTTGAGTTCTGTTTCACTTAATGTTCTGTTATAACCTTCATGCTTATCATGCTGTATTGTGAATTCTGTTCTACTTAATGTTCAATTATAAGTCCTCATGATTCATCATGTTATATTATCCTGAGTTCTGTTACTCTGTATTTAGGTTCTGCTATAGTCATCATGTTTAACATGCAACACCCTTCTAAATTCTCCTATCCTACCTAGGCTTTTGTGTTTATCATGCCATATTCTTTGAGTTCTGTTATGCTTAGGGTTGTTGTTGCAGTCTTCATGTTCATCATTTCCATATTCTTTGAGTTCTCTCATGCTATACTTAGGGTTGTTATTGCAGTCTCCATATTTATCATGCTATGCTCTTTTGCGTTCTATCATGCTAAATTTGGGATGTTGTTAGATAACTTTAGCTAGGGTATATATGAAATACATAGGATAACCTTGCCTCACTAGGTTAAGGCTTGTGAAACCTGAGTGTTTAAAATGCTTTCATAAATGTTTATTAGTGCAAAGTATCCTTTGAATCCCCCTCATGAATGTTGTACATCCATGTCTTACTGTTAGCTTGTAAACAATCATACTGGGATGGATTTTCCTTTGAATATCAATAGTATTTGTCATGATCAGTGTATCTCCTGTGAATCCGACTATAGTTGTGCATGCTGATTATTTCTGTAATCTGAATATGACTCCATCATGCTTAACTATTCAACCAAGCCTGTGTAGCTGATTTAAGTCTGTTAAGTGTGATGTTTCCCCTATCCTTAACCCATAATGATACTGACAACCTGATTCTTCGATGTTTGGGACTCATATTGTCTTGTAAGGTCATAATCTTTGATTGAAATCTCTGTATGTGTGGGAGTTTGGTATGAATTTTTGTTTATCCTTCATGACTTCACATTTTTAAAGACTGTCAGTGATTTCGTTTAGTCTTTGTTTGAGAATTTTATATATGGATATGTATACAATGTTGTGTTCTTTGAGAACTCATGCCCAAGTCCAGCTTTACTATAGTCCAAGGGTCTGACGTCGCTCGTCATTATTACTGCTGGGTCTGCTTTTTGAGGCCTAAACCTCCCAGAGTCACTTCTTTCCCTTCACCTCTTTACTTACTATTTTGTCATTCTTCAGTTGCACTATATCATTGCTCATTGCTGTTTTCCTGTTGTTATATCTCACTATGTATATGACAATCATATATTGGATTGAATGTTTACCCTTATCCTTTTAATTCATAGAATGACTTAGGCAAGCCTTAAAGAACTTAGGATTAGAAAGAAGCCTTAGTTAGCGATTAATTCTATAGCTACTAATCACTAGCTTATTATAAATTCATTATGCCTCGCTAACCTTCTCCTCAAAGATTTTTGAAATCCAAAGGTTTAACAAAGGTGGCAGCCCTCTTTTCAAAGAGAAAAAAAACAGAATTGTCGCGATTTAATCTTACAAAAAGGGAATCAACTATTTCGAAGGATTAAGGTGTTGCTGACCCTAAAACAAAGGCTTTCAAATAGTTTTCTACTTCAAAACCAAGGTATTTATTAGGATCATTTTCATAACACTTTTACCACATTAGGATGACATGAACCTCCATGATTTAGGAAACATAATGCTATAACTTGG